GGGCTTCTCTGAGCCCAAGTGCTATATCAATGCCATCAAAGGCATGATCAATATCTTGCTGCGGCGTGCAGCCTGATCCTGTACTATTAATCAATATCAGGCTCTCGGCCTCACTCAATGAATACTCTCCAGTCTCACACACATGGGCTAAGATGTCATGATACAAGCCCGAACAATGATATGATATGTCAAATAGCAATAATTGAGACTAAGGTATGATATAATATGCATGAACAGGACTGAGTATACATGAAACTAATGACATGACAACAAGAAATGACCCCTCGGGTCTCAACAGTATTGGCGTGAAGCCTTAACATGGTATTTAGCATGATTTGCAGTTCATTGACTTAATCACATAGATACATTACAAATATCAGCAAGAAAGAGTCACTAAGCGGTGCTCTAGAATGACCAGGCCGCATTTTTCACGGTGCACGCCCATACGCCCGTCACTTGGCAATTGAGTCACCTCAATAGTAATCATAGAACACATAGTTTGAGGTTTCGAACCCTCAGAACCAAGTTTGGAAGAGTTACTTACCTCAAGCCAAGCCAAACTGTAGCATGCGACGCCTTTTCCTCTCGATTCGGCCTCCAAATACCCCGAATCTAATCAAAATCAATATATAACTATCAAAATCCCGAAATTGGTCAAAACTCGACCCCCAGTACCATGCCACGGATTCCGATAAAATTTACAATACTAGAATCCTTACACTCTCGCGAGTTCATACATACAAGAGTACCAAAATCCGACCACAAATGACCCCTCAAATCCCTAGATTAAGGTCTCCAATTCCCAAGCCCTAAACCCCTAATTTTTGCTACTAATTTTCATAGATTTCAAGCTTAATCAGTCAAAAACCATCATAGAAATAAGTTTAGGGTCCAAAAATCTTACCTCCATGGAATCCCATTGAAATCTCTCTTAAAAAATACCCCCTCAAGCTCAAGCCCGTATGAGAAAAATGATGAAATACCCAAAAATTCGCGAAGGAAGCCTTATATACTTTCTGATCTAGGTATTTCGCACCTGCGGTCTATTTATGCTTCTGCGATTTTTCACTTAATCTCATTTTCCGCACCTGCGACCCAAACTCCGCATTTGCGGGCACGCAGGTGCGACACAGCTCCCGCATCTGCATCTTCTGATTTCTTCACCTGTGGCCGCATCTGCGCACTGATCTCGCTTCTGCGGTCATCGCACCTGCGGTCCTCTAACCGCAGGTGCGGTTATGGCAGTAAAATCAGCAGCTGAAGCTGCTCCAACAATTTCCCAAACTCCCTGTTAACCATCCGAAATCATTCTGAGGCCCCCGAGACCTCAACAAAAAGTACGAACAAGTCATAAACCACTATTCAAACTTATATCAATCCTATGAACACTCAAACCAACACCGAAACACCAAATCACCTTCGGATTCAAGCTTAAGGATTCCAAAACTTCCAAATTCTGCTTTTGATCAAAAAGTCTATCAAACCTCGTTCGAATGACCTGAAATTTTGCACACACGTCAAAAATGACATAACGAACCTACTCCAACTTCCGGAATCCCATTCTGACCCCTATGTCAAAATCTCACATGTCAACCAGAAAAAGCCAAAATTCCAATTTCGCCAATTCAAGCCTAAATTTACTCCAGACCTCCAAAACACATTTCAATCACGCTCCCAAGTCCCAAATCACCTCCTGAAGCTATCCGAACCATCGAAATTCACATCCGAGCCCTTTTTCACATAAGTCGACATCCGGTTGACTTTTCAAACCTAAGCTTACTCAAAAGAGACTAAGTGTCTCATTCCTTTCCAAAACCTCTCCGAACCCGAATCAACCAACCTGATAACACATAATACAGCTGAACAAGACAATAAGAAGCAGAAATGGGGGAAACGGAGCGGTAACTCATGAAACGACCGGCCGGGTGGTTACATTTCCCAAACCTTTCTTAACGGGGTCAAAATATAAACTATCATTTTTAACAAGTCTATCTAGTATAAATTCTTGCTAAATTTTCCTAAAACAAACCAAATCCAAATCCAAATCCATATCTGAGCGCCCATAGCTCACCCTAAATAGAAAATTACACCCAATGACCTTGAAAATAGATAATCCTAATTTTTTGACCCCGCTTGTTGCATGAATAAACCTTCAAGATCAAAAGTCAAAAGGATTGTAGATGGAATAAGCGAGGAACAATACTTATTAAATTTTAAGTTCAGCCTATGGGCAAAGACAGATCTAAAAATTAAGAGTGGTATCAAAGTATCCTATTTGGGCAAATCACCCCACCCACATAATTGTCTGGCCCATCGATTTAACCCGAAAAAGCGGGCAGGTCCCGTTTTCTATTCCTATACTATAAGTGAGAATAATCAGGCAGCTCATGGTCAACATGTCTGCATGGCATAGGGACAATTTTGAATTTTTTACAATTTTTATGCATTCAAGATATTGTGCGTACTAGCTTTATTACTTGTACAATAAATTTGTTGGAAGTGTGGGGTCCACCTCAACTTTCCATGCCACACGTTACTTGCAGCTAGAGGTGTTCATGGTTCGGTTTGAATCGATTTTTTCCTAAAAAGAAACCAAACCAAGTAAATCGGTTTTTCAAATATTAGAACCAAACCAAACCAATTAAGTCGGTTTTTCTCGATTCGGTTTATGTCGGTTTTTCATTTTTTCGGTTATTTATCGGGTTTTTCTTAAATATAAGACATACACTACCAAATACAGATTCCGGCGATCACATTTTCAATGTAACACTATCAAATCAATTGCCCTTTGAGAAATCTATTATTTACCAAAATATATTGATGATAATTGAATCAAATTAGTGATGAATAATTTAAGGACTCAATTAAAAATATGTTATTTTTAACACGAAATGGATTTTTACACTAAATAAAAGAAAACTACCAATCAAACTAGAATGTAAAGGTAAATAACTATATTAAAAGTGCAAACTATTAACATTTACCATAATTTTTTTGAAACTTTGTTTAACAATATACATATATATAGGTGTAATAATAAATTTGAAATAGCTATTCCTATAGTCGGTTTGGTTCGGTTTTTTTCTAATTAAAATCAAAATCAAACCAAATTTGATCGGTTTTTAAAATTCAAAACCAAAACCAAACCAAAAAGTATTGATTTTTTTTGGTCGATTTAGTTTGGTTTTCGGTTTGGTTCGGTTTTTCGGGTTTTTATGAACACCCCTACTTGCGGCATTTTAAAACTTTCATTTACTATTCAAGTGGGACCCTGACACACTAAAGACCCTCTTTCATTGACGCACTAAGTAGTCGAGCCCTATATTTATTTTTTTGATTAGCTATTGCATATTTGTACCTTTCTATTTTTCCCCTTCAATATTTCGTACAAAGATTTCATTCTTTTACACAAATATTCAAAAAAAAATCATACGAAATAAAACAAGACTTAATTTAATGCTCGATTGTTTTACGCTCGTACATCTTACCTTTTAGATTAAAGGACTAGACTTCTACCGATGGATTTATCTTCTGTCTTATGAATATTTATTAATTGGAGTAAAAAAAAAAATCAAGGTGGTAAGTTCAAAATTCAAAGTTTAAGAAATATAGGAGTGAAATATTTTGATTTTTTTTCCCATGGGCTAATAAGTGGTAGTACTTTTTATGCTGCTAACCTCATAAATAAAGAATATACTTTAATTTGATATGTATTAACTTAAATTGAATAGTTAATATTTGTACAAATAATTAGTTGGACACATGTACTCTGAAAAGTTCTCTTTTTAAACATAAACTTCTTCCCATCAAAGGAATTTTCCCCCCCTTATAAAATAGCAGTAGTATGAAATTTCATAATCAATAATTGAAGCTAAAATCATAGATAAATGTTGCTATGGTAAATTAAAAACGACATTAGTCATGTTTTCCCAAATCTATTATCGATCTAATAAATGACCTACAGAGTATAATAAGTAATTTAACTATAATTTAAAGCATAACTTAATCAAATAAATCTTATAATACATGTTTTATATGATTTTCTTACCAAAAATTCAAAATGATATTTATTTTAGTCATGAGGTAATATTAAATGTGAACCTAATCGTAGTTGTGTTAGATAAATTGACATTGCAACAAAAAAAATTGTCAATGCTTTTAAGTTAAATGAAAATTTTAAACCTCCTGCTAGTTCACACAACATGATCACGAAACAAACTCCTTTCAAACTTTAATTTTCAAGTAATAGGTGTGACCAATAACTTTTAATGACTTTAAGTGATTTAAAAATAACTTTATTATCCTTTGAGAGATGAACTCGATCTAAATTTATCATACACATTTTTATGGCTTCAATTTTTAGGTAATAATGTTATTGGGCCCATGCAATTATGGAATATCCTTGTGAAAATAGTACGTGTTAGCCAATTTTCGGACTGGTAATTGAAAAATAACTAGCGTTTGTAAAGTCACTGAAAAATTACTACTATTTTGCTGCAACACGGAAAGTTCCAGCATAATATACTGGAGATTGATGCACATGTATATAAACTTCCAGCATATTATGCTAGAACTCCAGCACATTATGCTAGAACTCCAGCACACGAAAAATTCCAGCATAAATATACTGGAGATTGGAGCATCTGTGCATGAACTTTTAGCATATTATGCTGGACCAGTATATTATGCTGGAACTCCAGTATATTATGTTGGAAGTTCACATATAAAAAATTTAAACTCCAGTATATTATGCTGGAATATTTTTCGAATTTTGAACACCATTTTCGTTCAAATTTATCTTTATATAAAAAATGACTATATTTCGATTACTTTTAAAATTATAACTATTTTTCAGTTACCACTTGTAAATCTAACTATTTTTTACTTTTACCCGCTATTCTTACTAGCATAGCATTGCATATAAACTCCCACCACGTCTTGTGCTGGCGGCTTTTGGAAAACGGGACCCAGATGATGCAATCAACTAACTGAGAGGCGCGGTGATAGTGGCGGTGGGAAGGCCATCATCACGCATTTGGAGCATGGGTAGGCACCTGTCTATTTAAACTCCTCCGTCTTCAACTTCTTTTGCAGAACTACATCACATTTACTTCATATCAGTAGCAAAACTCTCCATTCCTCCCAATTTTTTCAGCTTCGAAAACCCTACGTCTTACTGTTGAGCTCCATTTTGAAGGTACTTTTCAAATTTATCAGTCTGTCATTTATATTTTTTTGTTAAAATCTGGAAGTATATTTGGTTTGTCAGAGACGGGCAGTGTCACTTGCATTCATTTAAGAGGTTTGGAACAATTTTACCGATCATTTCGCAATTAATTCTACCTTCTCTTTCTAACTATGTATTTTTTTTTTTATATTTCAGAAAGCACCTGTTAAAATTTTTGTTTGCTCATTGCTGCTAAACTTTTTTGTTGAATTGTGTAAACTAAACTGTCCTTTTTAAATTCCATCACCTATTCAACATGCCAGATGCTTTGGGTTAGAATTTCACCATCGTCCATTACAGAAACTATAAAAATAAAATAAAAAAATTCACGTCAACACCTGAGAGGTGTGTTGCAGGCATAATTTAAATGAATAAAGTATGCCTTCTCTAAAATTTTATGATATTAATCGACGCGTTTCACATAATTCAATTCAACAATATAGTCCTAGTTGTAATGGTTTTAAGCATCATGAAATGGGTAAGTTTCACTGCAGGAGCTTTAGTTCTTGCTTTTGCTAATTAATTACCACTTTCAATTAGCTTGGCGCAAAATTGTTAGCAGAAGTCATATAGGCATGCGAGTTTCTTTGCATTTCTAGCATGTTGTGTTTATCAGGTGCTTCATTAGAAAATTTGGCTGCAGAACTTGGGACTAAATTGATATCTTATGGAGCAAATGGTAGTTCAAAATGGTGTTAAAAAGGTACAGTTGCTTCCAGCGGAAAATGATGACCATGGAGGCGTTATAGTAGAACTAGAGGAGCATATGGACCCAAATATCTTTCATAACATGCTTAGAAGTTCGTTACATCAATGGAAGCTGCAGGTATATTGATCTTGTTACTCATATTAGGAGCAAAGATTTGCATGATTTTTCTGTTTACACGTGATAATATAGTCAATGAGAGCAGTGTGCTGGAATACTTGTGTAATATATGGTTGACTTTGCTTCCCTTTTTCTCTTTCAATTCTTTTCTACTGGTTTGACATTTATTATTTTGCAGGGGAAAAAGGGCGTGTGGATTAAAATGCCCATTCAACTTGCAAATCTGGTTGAACCTGCAGTTAAGGTAATGTATTCTGTACTTTTTGTTGTGTAACAAGTGTATAATGTCCACTGGAACGCCTATGGATTTTATCATCAACTTGATTTGGATGTTATAGTTCAACTTGATAAATGAAGTTCATGGAATTCCAGCTAAGCCACTTCAATTTGTCATAGAATATGCAATTTTCAAATGTTTGTTTCGAACAAATGAAGTTGCAGTGAAACCCAAGCCATGGTAAAATGAAACAATGTCTTCTTGATCCAAATTGGAATTACTTAATTTTATTCTTTGGAATCTACAGCAGTAAAGTATTTACCAACCTTGTTTTCAGAAACTCAAAAGTCAAAGCTGCCGCTTATATCATCCTTTGGGTTGAGAAATCATATCTTATCTGTTCAGTCACGCTGATCCTAATCTTTAACGTTGGATGCAGGAAGGGTTTTGGTACCACCATGCAGAACCTCATTACCTGATGCTTGTGTATTGGATTCCTGAAACTGGGAATACAATCCCTGCAAATGCCTCACATCGAGTAGGTATTGGGGCTGTCATCTTGAATGAGAAAAGAGAGGTAATTAAAATCTGCTATAAATTCTGTTCTAGTAGTTACCCACATGGACATAATACTTCACTTAATCTGTATCTGTTCCAATTCTCAATATGATATTTCCCTCCTTGAATGTCAGACTTATGTTACCTAAAATGGTATATCATAGTCCCGATGCATCAAATTGCTTTTGAAGATGATCTAATGGTTTCTTTAAAGTCTGCCCGTTGTGATAGAGCTGGCGTTAGTGTCACTTCATGCATACAGACAATTTGGACACTACATTTCCTATTTGTCAAATCTTGATTCTCCATCTTACCGTTCTTAGGCAAAGGAGAGTGATTGTGAGTGCACTTGCCACTAAATAGCATGTAAAAAAAGTAAGAGCTATTTAGCATCATATTTGGTAAGTCCACTAACCTATTTTGCATATATCTCTATGTCTAACTAGATGTATTGGCCCTCTGTGGTAACTCTCCATGAACAAAGCATATCTTTATCATTAGAAACATCCCTCTTGTCTTGGACCACTATGCTTAAGCATATCGGAGGTAATTATTTCGTAGGTTCGCCATCCATTCTCTTAACTGCAAACTCTTGTTTTCAGCTGCTTGTTGTCCAAGAAAGTAGTGGCAGAATGAAGGGAACGGGGATTTGGAAGATCCCTACTGGTGTTGTTGAAGAGGTATGCTCAATGTTGAAGCTAAAGTCAGCTTTAAATACAAGTCATATATCAACTTGAAGTTTTAAACTGTGTTTAAGCTTTTGTCCTGCAGGGTGAGGATGTATTTGAAGCTGCAATAAGGGAAGTAAAAGAAGAAACAGGAGTAAGTATATCCTATAAACAACAGTAAAACATTCAACAGTCAAAGTTGACCTAAAATGCTACATATATAATGAATGAATCAATCAATGAATCTAAGTTTTCTGCCGTACATTTGACCGTTATTGTTTCTCTGAGATTATCTGGGTTTCTTTTGGTGTAGATTGATACTGAATTTCTGGAAGTTCTTGCATTCAGGTAGGAAATTCGTGCATTTCTTTGATTATTTGACCAAGTATGTATATCATTTCTTCATTTAGTGGCTAACCCATTGGCACTGGCAAAAGAACTGAATTGATTCAAGTTTAATGTGATATACCTTGGTTGTTTGTTTCACAAGGTTGTGGGTTTACTCATTGAGATATATTATGTGTAAAGAAAATGAAAGGCAGTGCCAGTGCAGGCAAATTTTGCATGATACTATTGCATCTCCTCCAAATTGACTATCTTGTTTTGTTTACCTAGGTTAACCACCTACCACGGTGAAAATCAAAAGATAGTTAACTACCTTTTGAAAAGAAAAGTTCAGAAGTTTTAATCTTTTTAAAGTTCTATAAGGCGTAACTTTAAAATGCATTGGAGGATTCATGTTTGATTAAATGGACTTATTGACTAGGAGGAGTATCTCAAGGATTGGTGTAAAATTTATTAATTTTTCAGAACGTAGAATATGTTGGGGTCATGACATTTCTGTTGACAGGCAGATGCACAAGTCATTCTTTGGAAAGTCGGACTTATTCTTCATTTGCATGATGCACCCTCTTACGTTTAACTTACAAAAGCAAGATTTAGAAATTGAGGCAGTTCAGGTATTTCTAGTTTGTTTTATGGATTTGTTACAGTATTCTCAAATCCTATTTAACAAATGTTATGCGATATTACTGCGTTGCAGTGGATGTCACTAGAAGAGTATGCTGCTCAACCTTTTGTTCTGAAACATGGCATTTTCAAATACATCAAAGATCTGTGCTTGGCAAAGGCAGAAGGGAGTTACCTGGGGTTTACTCCTGTGCCGATTAAATCTTATTTTGATGATCCTATGAGTTACCTTTATTTCAATGAAGATGGTGTGGTCCAGGAAAACTCTGCAATTCATCCATGAAGAAACAGAGTGGGGCAATCACATTTGCCAGATTAACGGTATGACTTTTTCTATACCGCTCTATTCAGGTCTCATTTCATTCTAATACACTAGTAGCTCTCTAAACTAAAGTAGGATAAATGGTATTGGTAGCATAGATCTTCTGTTTTTCCTATAATTGCTTGTACACCGAAATAAAATGTATTTTCCAAGTCTTTGTATGCCTCATTTTACGCAGTGTATCCAATGAACCACAGCAAGCATACTTATTCCAATTTGCTTGCTTCTTCTCTTATTCTTTGATCATCTAAATAGTAATTTCTCATGTAAAATTCTTACCTATGGAGCAAATACTTTGTTGGAGTGTTGTAATTGTATTCTTTTTCCAGAGTGTGTAGCTGTATTGACTACACTGAACGGAAGGAAAAAATAAAGGTAGAAGTGATGATGGGTTAACATTTGAGAAAAGGAAGCTTGTCCCTCGTTGGAAAAATAAAGAAAGGTAGAAGTGCTTTTAAACACTTCTTGTCTTATTTGGTTGAATTATTTGAGGGATATTTGGAGGGAAACTAATTGTGGCTATATAGGAGTATTAATTTAACTTTAATCACCTATTTTCTTATTTAATTAAAAAGTTTTTATTAATTATTCAAAATGTTTTAATAGTTCTATTTTAAATTTAAATAGGTGACTATTAGTTCTAAAAGGTACCCGTTGATTCCAAGAGCTCCTAGAGGTATTATAAGTACCCGTTGTCTCTCCAAAAACTATATACATCAACAACTACAAAAAAATTTCTTCCTCTCTCTTTCAATTTTTTACAACTCATAAAGTTTGTTCTTGTAGAAAATTCAGATTAATTGCTGCTATTCGAATTTCGTTGGCTTTGTAAATTCTGGGAGAATTGTGCTACCATCCCTGCAGCAACGACGTGAGAGGCTTAAATTCTTTAAGAAAAGTGATATATTATCAAAGCCAATGTATTTCGTCCCCATATTCTGCAATATTTTTTCTAACAAATAATGTGATTTAAGATAGAGAGTTGCTCAGTGGCCTTAGGCAGCCTCTTCAAAATGTTCTTTAGATTTTTTAAAAAGCATTTTCTGACAAATGTTTTTGGGTAGTTCTTTCAAAGTTTCACTCGTTAGTTTTCACCCTTAGATTATCTTTTGTTTTTCACTTTAGACACATTTTGCAAATTAGAAAACTTTTTTTTTGGGAGCCATTTTTGTATTTTACTCCCTCCGTTCACTTTTACTTGGCACGTTTTGACTTTTCATGCCCTTTAAGAAATAATAAATCAAGTGCATAATTTACCATGATACCCATATTAATTGATGCATATTTTATGGGATTTGAGAAAATGATTTGAAATGAGTAATAAATACTGTGGGTATAACAGGAAAAAAATTGTCTTCGCTTGATATGCGTAAAGTGACAAGTAAAAATGAAAATTTATTTTTTAGTACACATGTCAAGTAAAAGTGAATGGAGGGAGTAGCTGTAATTGCCGGGGTTCGTGTGCGGGGGGGTTAGGGGGGGAGGGGTGTTTAGTTTTGGGCATAAATGATTCCTTTTACTATTTCCATTTTTCTAATGCAACGTAAACCAAAAGCAACTTAAGCAACCCCTCCCCCCCTCCCAACCCAACCCACACTCTCTCTTAGGAACCAATCGATTGGTTTGTGCCTCGTCGATGAACAAAAGCTTTAGTAGATGAGCTGATGAATCTGTAATGATTCATGAAATTTTGGAGAACCAACATTGGGGAATCCGAAGGTCAATCATTCCGCTGCTTTATAATTATGTACATTAAAGAGAACGGATTGAAGACTAAATACATATCCAACTTTGAACTATTGGGCATAAATACTGTGATAGGGGAGTAGGAGGCCATTCTAAATGCGGCTGTAGCCTGGTCCTCAGTGGGATCTACTTCTACAAGCAAGAGACACTGTTGGTCACAAAACCTGTTAACTGAATATTGAACTTGGTGACCTTATTTTGAGTCTCGGAATATTGCTTGTTGACTCCTCAGGGCTGATTTTCTTTAATCAGCAGTTAATAATTAGGCTTTTTAGATGACACTATAGTTATTTAGAAAGTACTATTAGATGAGTTGATCTTATTTCGAGCTTTATCATTATTTTGGACTAATAAGTTACTTCCTCCGTTCACTTTTACTTGTCTATTATTCTAAAAATACATTTCACATTTACTTGTCCACTTTCGCATATTAAGAGAAAAATAATTTATTTTTTCTGTTTTGCCCTTAGCATTAATTACTTATTCCAAATCATTTTCCAAATTCATTAACACTATACACCAATTAATATGAGTATCATGGTAAATTATGTATTTTATTTACTATTTCTTACGGGTATATGCAAAGTCAATAGTGGACTAGTAAAAGTGAACGGAGGGAGTACTATTTTGAAGTGAAGATGAATTCAATCTTTTTTGTTGGTATAACCATTTGTATTTGGAATCCATCAACTCAACTAATTAAATTTTTTGCTGCATAAGGCTCATTAAAAAAGTGCTCTCTATCACAGGAATTTTTGTATTTCTAGATTTAAACTGAAAAGTGGAGAGACTCGGGAACAATATATGGCACTCATTGTCAAGAAAAGGTCGATCAGTTATTAGTACTGCATTTTCGAGTTAGTGGGCCTTACCAACTTTATCATAAGTCAGTCCCTCACAGGGCTTCAAACGGTGCCTAACCCAACTGCTAATTCCATGGTCAAACATTGAAAGGCCAGAAATCTCTGGACAAGTGAGTCGATGCTCTAATTTCAATGACCATTTCTAGAAGGAATCTCAAATTTGAGTTTGAAACCTAGAGATCAGTGAGCCAATTAAAAAGTACTCCCCAAAATCATGGTAGCAATAAAATTCATCTCTTTCAGTTTCCGCAACCCCAATGCCCTCAACGAATTTAGAATTCCTCGATTTCTTAGGGTATGTTGGCAAAGGCACCAAGTAATTAGAATTGGTGTAATTAATAGGGTAATAATTATATAGCCTAGTAATTACATAGTTGTGTAATTACGACGACATGTTTATTTGTCATAATGTAATTATAGCGTAATTAAAAGTTTATTGTTTGGTTGCACAAGTGTAATTACACAGTTAGATTAAATTTTAAATGAAGTAATTATTAAAACTTAAAAGTTAATATAATAAATATATGCCTATAAATTTTTATAAGTATAAACGATATTATATTTGGTATTTAAGATGTATATATTTCCGTGAATATACATTAATTAGTAATAATATATTTATAACTAATATTGTAAAAATAATGTATATATATTTTAAATTAATAATAGTATTTAGTTTAGATACTTACAAAAACTAAAAATATATGTTTTGTAAGAACATTATGGAATTCATGTTTGATAAAATAAATTAATATTTATAAATATAATGTCATAACATTATTCAAATATTTGACAAAACTAATCTATCAATTCTAACTAAAAAAATGATGAGCCAATACTATTAAAACAAGTAAATTGGAACTATGAATATAACACAATTTCAAAATTCAAAAAAAAAAAATAGTTTAATATATGTCAAATTCCAACATAATAATAGTAAGTTCCACTACAACTTAAGATTAGGAAACATAATAAGTTTATAATCACATTCAACCACGAAATTTCACTTTAATTGTATCACTCATTATATGTCAAGTTTGTTAATAACTCATTATTTCTAATATTAGGAGGCGCAGTTTAAAAAAATAGAATAATAAAATAAATAAAAATAAAATACAAGCAATTACATGGAATCACAAGAAGTAAAGATAGAGAAATAAAAGATAAATAATATACAAAGAAAAATATATTTTAAAATTTCAAAAGAACTTGAAAAGCAAAAATAAAATTTAAAAATTAAAATTATAAAGAAAATAAATTAAAATAAAAACAAAAAGGAAAGAAACTAAAAAAAACAACCTTGTAATTACACAGTGTAGTTACCACCAATTCTCACCTCCCCTTGAGAATTGGAGAGTGTAATTACACTCCTCGAATTACACCAAATTACATGTTGACCAAGTAATTACTTGGTCAAACAAACATGCCAAACTGTGTAATTACATCTAATTACACCCAAATTCATTTTCAAAGTGGCTTTCCAAACATGCTCTTAATGTAGCTTCAAGCAACTAAATTATTTTACGGGTTATTGTTGGTAAGTAAAAATTTATGTGTTTTTATAAAATCTTATCAAATTACCATGGTTAAGTTAATAAAGTGAAAATATATATTAATTGCTCATAATTAAGGGATAGAAGCCTATATACAAACACATACTATTGTGTATCTATTGATTTGATACAAAGACTAAGTGCGAGTAAATTTTTATAGTTATTGTTTAAACGTGATAAGCAATCTAGAAAATAAAATAAATAGGCGTAATATTTTACAACTTACAAAGGTTCAATATATACCTGAATAGATTCAATAGTCATCTTCTTGAATTGAGACAAAATCTCCAAAAAAATTGAGTAAAACCACTTCGGAATAATTGTATAACAGCGAAAGAAAAATTTAAAGTTATGACTCAGAGTAAGATGGCAACGGAATTATATGAAAAGCTTATCATAAATTCATAAGTAATGGTTAACACGCAAACAAAGACTCGTATTACAGAATCAATTCCATCTCTGAATCAACTTAACACTTAACAGAGATAATCAAAGACACACTAACAAAGAAGAAAATGGTACAAAAGCAAAAAAGTAAAATAAAAAATAAGCAAAAGCACCATAAAGTCTGTTAGACAGTATAGAAACTTACACTAATACCGTTACAAATCCACTTATTTCACAATTAAGAGCCCCTAGAGTTAAACAAAGAAAAATAAAATTAAAACCTAAGGAGAAACAGACATTTCTTTTTCAAAGACCTATGAAAATAAAAATAAAACTTACATCAATAATTCGAAGGCAAACCATATACTAAAAACGGCGGTAAGCGATGCTCCAGCGTTGTACCTAACAGCACCGTTATCATCCGCGGTTGAATCGGCAGAATCATCACTAGGACCATCCGCCGGAGAATCCGCCGGTGAATCAGCGGAAGACTCAGGTGCCGGTGGCGACTTGTGTTTATCCTTAGAGTGCTTAGGAGATTCAGCGTCGGCCTCCGGTGCCGGCGCCGGCGCCGGAGTAGGAGCAGCCTTGAACAATTCCTTTGGCAACAACACCTTATCAAGCGAAAATATCGCCAGCGGCTGTTCATCAACCAAAGTCCCCGTGATCTTCGCAGTCACAACCTTCGTCTTCAGTGTAACATCTTCGCCGTTATTTTGAACGGTAAAATCGTACTTCTTAGCGCCGTCTGTAGCTAACGTGTTCATAACGCCGTTATTAGATTTCAAACTCGATATCGATTGATAAATAGGAACTCCGTGATACTCGAGCAGTGACTGCTTCCCTTCCGCGGTTAAATTCTTAAACTTAGGTAAAAAATTCTTCATTGCGTCATCTCCAGGGCAAAATATCGTTAATCCGCCATCAACATTGTCCTCAAAAGTCTTTTCAGCAGGAGAAGCTAAAAGCGTCTCGGCAAAAACTTTGCAGCCGTGAGCAGACATTAGTGAAGTGAGATTCATATGACTTGGTCCTGGAGTCGGAGCTTCAGCTTCGGCTGAGGGCAAAATCGTACTTATTTGGATAACGGAGATGTTATAAGGAATCTCCTCTACGGATTTAACAAATTTGGCGGGAGGAGGGCCGTCGTAATCGGCGGGGCTAAAAACGACTTTTCCTCCTTTTACATTAGTGATATTAACGAAGCCGGATGAACCGGAAGCCGAGCCAGTGGCTTGGAACATAGTGGCAGCAA